TTAATTGATGAAAACGTAGGCGAGGCTCTACTTGGCATCAAATTGGAAAATCACAGAACCAGACAGTGTTAGATTACATAACTGAGAGCCTTCTACAATTCGAAATTCATCAAATGATGCGAAAATGATAAGAGAGAAATTCTGTCACTATTTTAATTACGAGCCTAAATTGAATATTCGTAAAAGAACTTAATATTTTAATTTTGCATAAGTAGACTACTAAATTAGTATTCACTGTAAGCACCTCAAAATATCGGAGAAAAGCCGTGGGATTAATCTTCAGCCATTTTACCATATATTCCATTTTGTCATTTGGACATTTCGTCAATAGTGTCAAATCAAATTAAGAAACACGTCTACAGAGTGTATAGGGTAATCAGGAAATAGCCGCTGGAATAAGGGAACATGAATCAGAGTGTACGAAAGAAGAATAAAAACATGAAAGATCCTGAAGATGGGGATAATGTAGAAAAATACAGTGATAACAACGAAGAACTGTTGGACGGAAAAGAACGATGGTCTCGCCCAGCCTGTTGTAAACAGGAACACATGCGGTGCTCGTTCAGAAACCACTGCTCCTTTACAACCAGATCAGTCTACCCCTACCGACACTCTCACCCTTATACTTAACCAATTAGCAACTATGGCCAGTGACATAAAGGATATTAAGAACTCTCAATCTCAACTCAGAACTGATGTTGCTTATTGTAGAAACTTGCTAAAGCAACATTCGGACTCGATCTCTCGGCATGATGACTTAACAGCGGCCTGCGAAACCAACATACAAAATATCCAGGTTACTCAAACAGAGCTGTCTTCTAACATTGCTAATATTGAAACGAGACTTGCAAGATCTATGGAGACGATGCACTCAGGCAACGGCGCTTCTTCTACCCCTATTGCCCCAAGCTCCCAAGCTGTGTAAACATAGTATCAGAGATAATTAGGCATATTGAACCATCTGCCGAAAATCACCGACTCAGCATCACTCGCCTTGGCAGAACAACTTCAAGCAATCGTTTAATTAGAGTTGTGTTTTCCTCACCTATTATCGTCAGCAATATTTTGCGGAATAAAAACTCCATACTTAGCCACCCCACGCTTCGTCACGTAAAAATCTCTGACGACAAAACCAGAGGTCAAATGCAAGAACTACAACACCTTCGCGAAGAGCTTAGACGTCGTCAAACAACAGGCGAAAGTAATATTACTATAAAATACGTTCGTGGTAAACCTTCTATAGTACACACAGCTACCCAGGAGATCACACCTTCAAAAAACTGATAAATTCTGTGGCAAACTGGACGGTTTGTTACACTAATATACAATCTCTCTTTTCTAAGCTACTTGAACTCCAAGCATTTGTTCGAGACAATAATCCAACGTCCGTTTGCCTTACTGAAACATGGCTCCATTCCGACTCTTCCATCAATTTGCCTGGATACTATTTATACAGAATGGATTCACCACGCACTCCTGGTTTTGGTGGAGTATGCATTTATGTTCGCACGGAAATCGCGTCGGCTTTCTCGGTATCTCCCTCTTTCAGTCCTTTCGATGGCATTGATAATCTATTTTTGGAATGGAGGTGCCCAAATTTCAGCTTCACGATAGACTGCATATATCGGCCACGGCCCTGTTTGGGAGACACACACCTGCGCAGTCTCATTTCAAATCTCTTAAATAAAAACACCAACCTTTTCATAGCTGGTGACTTCAATCTACGTGACATTAGCTGGCCTATGTCAACCATTCCTGAATGCAATTCTTCTTCTGCTGCTTACATCGACTTGCTACGCAACTCTAGCATATCTCAACTTGTTGATCGTCCAACGAAATTCAGGGAAGGACAGACGCCTAGGGCTCTGGATTTGATATTCGTTAACGACGCCGACTTTGTTTCTAATTTAGATTATTTGCCACCTTTTGGCAAGTCTGACCACTGTTCACTTTTATCTTCTCTCCAGTTCAATATAAATAGTCGTTCTACAACCGATAAGTTTAAAACCATCAAAATTGTAAACCACGATGCTCTTAACCAAGCCCTGTCTGAAGTCAACTGGCCTGCTTTGCTTAACAACCGTAGCACCCAAGATATGTGGGACACTTTCGCTCAACGAGTCCTAAGCGAAACGGCTGACAATACTGTTGAAAAGAAGGTATACTGTGACCCCTCAAAGCCCTGGATCAACTCTAACATATTGAGGATGCTTCGTCACAAGAGATCTTTGTGACAACGGTTTAGGAGGAGTGGCCATTCACAAGATTACGTGTCTCATCGATCCTTTTCTAACCTCCTATCTAGAACGTTACATAATGCCAAACATGCTTTTGAACGAAAACTCGTTACCTCCAAAAATAAGAAGAATCTGTTTCGGTATCTAAGAACAAACCTGAATTCCAAAGTTTCATCACCTCAGATCCGCGACGCTGACGGTCATCTCCACATGGATGCCACCGAATCTGCCAACTTACTGGCAGAGTCCTTTAGTGATGACTTCGTCGATGAGCCTAATGGAGACCTTCTACCGACCACTATCTGCCATAGGTGTCCCAACAGCCTTTGCGAAGTTGAGTTCCTGCCTGAAGATGTATTAATGCACCTGCGAAATCTGAAGACCTCTTCCTCCCCTGGTAAAGATGGGATGACGGCTACTGTACTTAAAAACTGCGCTTCAGCACTGGCCCTACCATTAAGCTTGATATTCACATCGTCTTTTAGATCTCATACCCTACCCTCATGCTGGCTTAGTGCTTCTGTTACCCCTGTATTCAAAAAGGGCGACAAATCCTCCGCTAAAAATTATCGACCAATAAGTCTCGTTCCTATCGCCGCCAAAATAGCTGAAAGAATCATATTACGAGTAGATAAGCACCTGTCATTTGCTCTCGAAAATGACCTTATCCCTAAGAATCAGCATGGATTTCTCCCTGGTCGATCAATAATGACCAACCTTCTCTACTCTCTCAACGATTGAACTCAGTATCTGGACACAAAGACTCCTGTTGATATAATCTACTTAGATTTTTCTAGGGCTTTCGATCGCGTACCACATAGAAGGCTTCTGTTTAAGTTGGAGTATATGGGAATAAGAGGCGAGTTGTTACTGTGGATTAAGGCTTTTCTCACCGGGAGGACTTTCTCTGTGCGCGTCAGTGATAGCCAGTCTCACCTTCATCATGCAGCAAGTGGAGTTCCTCAAGGCTCTGTCTTGGGGCCAGTGCTGTTCCTTCTGTATACAAGTGACCTGCCCGCATTGATTTCCTCCACATGTTCAGCTTATGCCGACGACACCAAGATTTACAATACTGTCGTAAATTTTGCTATGCTTCAACGAGATCTTGATATTGTTGGTCAATGGTCAGTCAGTTGGCTTTTACCCTTAAATCTAACTAAGTGTTGTGTCCTTCACCTCGGGAAGACAAATCCGCGATTTACATACAAGATCTCTGAGCACAACATCGAAGCAGTTTCCAGCCACACTGATCTGGGCGTTGTAGTCAACGATCGTCTTTCCTGGTCAGAGCATATTCACCACGTTACATCAAAAGCCAAGAAACTTCTATACATGCTGGAGAGGTCTTTCAAAGGATCCGATGTCAACACTTGCGCCTACATTTACAAGGCATTCGTGAGGCCAATTCTTGAATTCGCTGGCCCGGTATGGGACACTGTGCTTCTGCGCGATAGAAATCTCGTCGAATCAGTACAGCGACGGGCTACTCGTATCCCTTTTGGAGCACGAAGACCAAGCTATGAAGATCGCCTTGAATTATTCAACCTGACCTCATTCTCTGAGCGAAGACTTCGTAGCGATCTTATAGTTACGTTCAGGATACTTCATGGTTTGATGGGCACCAACCTCATGCATCTATACCGTCTGTCGCGCAGCAATCTACGCGGACACAGCTTCAAACTGCATAAGGAGCCATTTAAAACAACAGTCCGCCAGTGGTTTCTTCCCAACCGCATATTCAACACCTGGAGTAGTTTACCTGAAAGTGTGGTTGGTGCTACTTCAGTTAATAGCTTCAAAGTGCAGTATGATAGCTGGAGGAGTGTACAAACTTTATAGCTATGAACTGTATTTTTTTATTTTTTTCTATTTGATGTATTTGTGTTACGTGTCCGTACACTATATTTACTGCATGAGCTTATAGTACTGTGTACTCTGCTTATCTCAATTATCATAATAATAATAATAATATATGTCTTAATTTTAAGAATATGTTTTTTCTACTCTGGGTCAAAAATAAATGAGAATCAATAGAATTGTCATTATTATTGTTATTGCTAACCAAAAAAAAAATATTTCTTATCTGAGCTTTCTCAACTTTGTTCAAAAAATGGAAATATTCAAAGGTGAAATTCTTGGGCATATAAATATCATAAGTCCCAGTTCCAGATCTTCGAGACAATTCTATTTGTTTCAGTTCACGACGGTAGTTGGATCTTAATGTATTTATATTATTTTTACAATGGTCCAAGGTAGCCTGGGACTTGATTCTTTTATATACCACCAACAGTTTTTCCAGAGCTTCATTCCTCTTGTATTTGTTTATTAGATTTGTCCCATAAAGGTGGCAACGTTTCAAATGTATTAATGAAATCTTTTTCGGTTTCCAACGGCGGTGACGAACCCTGTGACGAAGCGACTTTCCGCTGTGTCTCCATATCGAGCACTAAACTGAAGACTGACGGGACACTGATTTAATGCAATAACACGATCAATCTGTCATCAGTCGTCACTAGACTGACAAAAATCATTAAAATGTTTATAAATCCGTCAGTCCAGTTCATCTCTCCATCAGTCAACGCATGGTAAGGTCAGATTCACATAATTCTGACCGAGATTATTGACTGAACTAACGCCAAACTGAGCGTGTAACATTTGTCTTAGGAAGTCCAAGTGAAAGAGAATCACGACAGCCGCAGATGTGCAGGTGTATGTCACAGTGAGGCATGTTACGTGTTTCAGGGAAAAATGAGAAACAACTTTCACCTAATAATTTGAATGACTTTTATTTTCCTACAGTATTTCGCACTAAATACTGAGAATGAATTTACAGTTGAATAATGTAATATACAATAAAACTAAGTTATACCTTAACATTTATAATTACTGTACAAGTTCATCTAAAAATATCATAAAATAAAATAACATAAATAACATAAAGTGATTCTCAAAAGAAGGACCCCGTATAGATAATAGTCAAGGATCCTAGTTAACAAGAGAAGTAGATGTTAAAAATGCTTCAATCGTAATGATAAAGCTTGATATAATACAAACTACTAACAATAGGTAATAACAAAAGATATATATTAAGCAGTGTATTTGAAAGTTAGCTTTTCACAATAAAAACGAGAAAACGAGAAACACAAAATTGTACTACAATAGACATTTTGTGTTTATATTCTCACTTTCGTATACTTTCAAGACAACAACCAAATTTTGAGAAACCAACATACAACTGCTTATGCTTACTCTACATTTAGGTCTTTCATACATTTTTCGATAACAAGAAGAAGATTTCATCACAAAAAACAACTAACTATTTATTTTTCACATTATAATCGAATATATGACAATCACAGTTATTTAAGGATCTTAGAATAACCTGGAATTAGTTACAAATGTAATGTTTTAAACGAAGCATCTGGAATTCCAATATTTACTGAAGGCAAGTGCACGAGAGAAAGAAAAATTGCATTAGTAATGCACCGGCAGCTTGTGGGTATACGTCAACTTTCCCATAAGCAATAAACAATATGTTTAGATCAAGTTGTGCTGAGATCTATTTACTGATAGTGATATTTTATTATTTACAACCATTACTGGTTAAACACCGAAGTTGATTCATCAGCGAAGAAACCACTATTATTTTCAGACATCATCCTTACAACTTCGACATTTGCATCGCTTCAAACTATGAGTCAATTCAACTAGGTATAGTCAATTTAATCTATAAGCTAGAAACTAAATGTTCCTTATAAAGGGAACGCCAAATCTTCAGATAACCACCCATAATGTTAAATTTCATCGAAAAATGCAGGGCTTAACTATAAATATTTTTTACCAAACTAAACTCATGGCACTACGAATTTCTAAGGTATGAAAGAAGCTCAGTTTAATTTTCACCGCAGTGTTTGAAATTTGCTTAAACATGAAATAACAGATGTTTTAGTACTGTTCTTATAATTTCGTGATCAATGCTGGTTACATAAAAAACAATTTGAATCTCCAAAACGTTCGATCGTTCAGACAACTGTTTGCTATCATTTGTACGTTATCACAAAATTTCATCACTCTTTAGTTTTTTGTTATACCGATTCTTTTATAAGGAACATGCTCTTACAGGCAAATGAACAACTCACATAAAAGTATTAATGTTTCGTATTTGTTCAATGATTGTACATAAAAATGCATTGTTTGGTTGCTTCACAACGTTTTGATTGCTGAAATCTATGCTAAAATTTACAAAAATTTCAACAGGCGTTCTGAAAAACCAGTCGAGACCAATTAAGTACTTTGGTATGCGTCCACAACCCCGATCGTTATAGAAGCTTGCTTCTAGATCTAAAAGAAAACGTGAGAGACACACACAGTCATTTTTTCATCTTTATCATCCAAAACGTTAGTGAATGTCTGTGTGTACAACACATAAAATTTCAGTGAAACCACTAAACAATCACGAGTCCTGCCTTATATGGTGACACTGCTGATCATACCTGTACCTTTCAAGACCTTTCAAGCTTTAATAAATTTGAAGGTCATCGAAGGTGCTATTCTATTATGAATGAAGTTAAGGCCTACTATATTATGTACAAATGATTTATGACTCCAGAATGCTTATGTAATAAGGGCAAAATACTGATTTTAATGTGCTACAGCATTTCTTCTTTCGTACAGAAAAAATGTCGTAGGCGTTTGAGTATGCACTGGTCCCGTCCGCGATCTTGAACACAGCACATCCAGTGTGTAGGTAAGTCACTTGGAATGTCTAGAAAACAAGGAAGAGGTTAGAGGCCTTTGAAATTGGTCGTAAACGGGCAAAACGAGAAAATCTGGACCAAAATAACTAACATTCTTCGCAAATGTCTGTCAACTATACAGGATGTAAATTAAGTATGTACCATAAATTTAATAGACGATTCTTTGAATAATTTTAAGACAAAAAGTTCATATACACGTAGGTCAAATTCTTCGTTCTCAAGATACAAGGTGTTAAAATGAATAAAAAAGTGGTTTATTTAAATAATTTTGTAGTAATTTGGCGGTTGTATTTATAACATGGAGGCACTAATTTAGAACTAACTTCATTAAATTTAGTAAGTCCAATGACATCTCGAGCGGGATCTGGTCGAATATTTGTGACAAAAAATGTACGCCACTGACTTTTGTCCAATTTTTATCATGTTCTTTGGTTTAAGCAAATAGAAATACAACTATTTTTTTCTTGAAATTTGTTCGCATCTTGCTTAGTTTTCGAGAAAAAAAGTCTATTTCATTGCATATCCCTGGACCACACAAGCATGCATTTCCTACAATTAATTTAGTAAAATTTGTTGGTCCAAATATTCCAAATTTTGAAAATGTTTACTATTTTCAAAATTTAGAAATTTTTCAATATTTTCAAAATCTTCAAAATTTTCAGTTTTTATAATTTTCAAAGTTCTAAAAAGTTTAAAAATTTCAAGAATTTCAAAAATATTAGATACAAATTTTAATAACTTGGAGAATTTTGAAAATCACTATGATTTTAAAAACTTTTAAGATCTTCAAAATTTAGAAAATATTCAAAATTTTCAAAATTTCATAATTTTCAGTACTTTCAATATTTTCAAAATTTTTAAGATTTTAAAAATTTTCAAAATTTTAAAAATTTTCAAAATTTTCAAAATTTACAAGATTTTTGAAATGTCGGGAATATTGGGGATATTAAGAATTTTCACGATTGAAAAAATGTTAACAATTTTCAAAATTATCAATTTAAAAATCTTTGAAATTTTCAAACTTTCAACATTCTTAAAATGTTCAAAATTTACATAGTTCACAAAATTTTTGAAATTTTTTTTTAAATTATGTTTCCAAGCATGGTCCAATGTCCTTGATTTCCAAATTACATCAACACCCTCACCTTTCCATTATATAGTCCTCCTTAAAGATGCGTAACAATAATCTCGTCATCAATATCATCCTTCTCGTCGTCTGTTTCCTCTAGTTCTTGCTGCTGCTGTCGCTCCTTGTCCAGTTGGTTCTGCTTGGCCTGTTCTGCCGCCAGCTTCTCCTTCTCCTTTTGCCTGCGGATCTTGTGCAGATGGTGGATCTCCACGGAAACGTAGAGTAGGAAACCACCCACCAGCATGGTTAGCTGTACGTAGAGCTTCATTCTGGCACAGAGATGTGTAGAGTATGCGTAAGCAATCACGAAGCCTACCGATTCCCATAGACGGTAGTTGGAGAAAGCAGCTTCTTTGTTACGTCGGAAGAGGGTACCGTATAAACCTGGAAGCAACCATAATGGTTTAATAGACCTATTGAGAGTAGGAGTAGTTATGATTGTTATCAGTATCAAGATCTCAAAGGCACAAAGTTTTTTGGTTCTGAGACATCTATGGACCTAGCAATCCGATTTACTCAGGAGACCAGTCTTTGTTCAGATGAAAGAGTCGTACGGATTATTGAATTACGTTTCATTCTGGTAATATTACAAAATCATAATAGTTTCCTAAAATTTAACCGTAAAACAGAAAAAATAAATATTTGAATAAAAAAGTTCAAGGCAATTATTAAAAAGAAATACTTTGGTAATTGGGAATTGGTGGTCAGATATCCAAAAATCCCAAGGAGCCCAGATCACTCAATCAACCTTTAGGCTTCTAATGTAACCCTTGAAACTCATTATTTGGCCGAATCAAACCACATATATGTTTAAATTTAGATCTTTTTTATGCTTTTTGAGGATCAGCAGTAGTGTTAACCGACAGGAGCTATATGTAAACAAAACTTTTTTCTTTCTCAAAAACGAATCAAGCTTGAATACATATTTTAGCTAAATAATCAGACTACTACTAAGAGCATAATTAATATTCATCACTATAGATAGAAGCATGTATCGGCAATATTTTGATAGTGTTAGTCAGTCTTCGACGATCTAAATTAATTGTTTGGAATATTATGCTCTCAAAATTTGGACTAACTATAGCTAACGTCTGCGGTTGCTATGTGATTAAATTATCCCGCCCCCGGTCATTTTGAATTTGTTGGAAGATTTGCAAACGCTAGAAGAAATCATAAAGATTTTATTTATCACTTCCAAAGAAGGATAATCATACTTTCAATTTATAGTTACTAGTTATACCAAAAAATGGTACGTATTGTAGTAATGAAACATGTCTTCTCTATATATTGGTATGAGTGATCACCCTGTAACACCTTACACGCGCCACATAAGTGCCATATACGTCGATAGATACCTAAACCATATCTGCTGAGAAATGTGCACATCTTCGGCAAACAATGCGTAATCTGCAAATATGTATTATTTGCCGCCGGTATTGGTTCTATCGGTTTATAAAAATTGGGTGGGCCGGCAAGTGGATTTATTCCTGCCCTGGAGTCACTCGTGGGACTGGACAAAGAATAAGTACCTATTTTATTTTTATTGTACATTTAATTGCCGGCGTTTTGTTAATACACTTGAATATTTTATTTTCTGTGTTATTATTTGAGCCTTGACACCAGCGAGTCGACTCAACCCAGAGCAAACTTATCCGCCACGTCACAGTCTGGACAATATAAAGGAGAATGTTTGTCCAATCTGGTACAGACGAATTTGAGAACAAGAAATGGATCGCTTTTGAGACTCAAAGCTTTGTTCATATCAGACAGAGCTTTTGTAATATTTTTGCCACTGAAATTGCGAGGAGAAACTGAAATTCAAATGCATTAACGATAAAAACGTGCATGAGAATGAAAATTCTCAATATCTGTTGATAAAATCAATCACTTATGTAAGGCGGTACCATCTTCCGTCAAGTATTTATACCCAGCAATTAAATTTATGTATGAAGCATTTAAACCGATTTTTATGCAGTTTAATACCCTCGCAAGGTAACCTTGAATTGAGCATACCAATTAAATATGTAAATATACGTACTTGCAAGGTAAACCATTAAACGATTTTATAGCATAAAGTGCCTATTCAAAATGTCTGTGATGCTTTCATAGTGTGGTACTTTTATTATATGTGAGTGTGTATACGATTACAGGAGACGTCAATATTCTAATTTACCACTAGAAATGTGTAGATGGGTACCAACAAAGCGCCCAGTAAAATGATAATAGAATGATAACAGTGTTTACGTAACACCACATTTTCTAAAGGTTAAATATTTACCGTGTAAAAATTCTCAATATGAGTCCTGTCAAATGTCAGGTCAGTTTCAATGTAGAATGTGTGTAAATTGTATTCAATATAGGTTGTCAGTGACATAGAAAAAAGAACATCCTGTAATAATGGATGTATTACAACAGTTCTTTGTACATATTAGGTATATGTAATTGATAAAAATCTAGTATTCAACAATTTTTGATATAGTAATTACTTTGTACGCAGAGACAGAAATATACATATAGAATTTTCTAAAATCAGGAATCACAAAAAACTAAGATTCACCCCAAACGTATCACCTAATTTTACAAGTAAGCTAAGCTGCAGAAAAATACAAGACATGTCGTTAAAATGGAGATCTTCCTACATAAACAATCGCAAGTATGAAATTATTTATCAGAAATCGAAACCTGCGACATAGGCCAGGTGATTTGAATGATGGGTGAGGAGAGTGAGGAGAATCTACTGTTATTGTTTATATCTAGTTTTGTGATGATTCTATTGATTTCAAGATATTTTTGGGGTTGGCGAGGAAGTACTGTAATCGACAATAACTTTAAAAGTGAGATATTAAAGTTTTTGAATACTACAACAAATGTTCATCACCAACCAAAATGTCATTACCTACGTCGGTCTGTCTGTCCGCTAATCGTTGGCCCCTTCGTAGCTTGGAAATTATCGCTCGGACTCTGATGAGACTTTGACACAAGGTTACTACTATAACATGTAAGAAAAATCTAGCTAGGTTTCAAAAATCAATCCAGTGGTGGGGGAGCTAAGGGCAAGAAACGAAAATAAAAATTACACTCACCTTGTTTTTTCGACTTATAAAAGACTCCTGCTCAATTTTGAAAATTTATGAGTGGTGAAAAATTGTGTTGCATCTATTAGACCTATTCCACACATAGATTTTTCGTAGATTTTCCCATAAGACGTAGGGCCATGTCGTCAGTCGTTCCTACTATGATTGTAGGACACCTTTATGGTCTCCTTGATTTACATAGCTTTCTACTGTTCCGTGTCAGCGCTCTATCTATGAGGTTATGTTAAAAATCTCTATTTGCATCAAATCGTTCATGCTTTTGATTTATATCAAGTGTTATATCAGCATGAAATTACCTCAAAAAGGAAACATAGCCTCGGAATAAGGGAGCGCTGACGGACCAGTAGATATTCAAAAATATACTAAGTGACATATAAATCCGAACACCCAGTTTAAATGGTTTTATTTTAATAAAATTTTGTATAAGTACTTAATGAAGCATAATAAGTAAATGATAAAAATTTCAAAATGATTGCACCGCTTTAAAGCCCTTTGACCTTTAATAATGTGTGGATGCACCCTGATGTGCTACGCATTCTCCAACGCGCCTAGGCATGCTTCTGATCAGGTGGTCAATGTCCTCCTGTGGTATCTCATTCCAGGCAACCACCAACTCCTATCGAAGTGCTTCTAGAGTCTGAGGAGGACGTTGCAAATTGAGCAATCTCCTACCCATCATATCCCACACGTGCTCAATTGGGGATAAGTCGGGAGATCTTGGTGGCCATGGTAACAATGTGACATCATTATGTTGAAAGAAGTCTATTGTGACTCTTCCAACATGTGGTCGGGCATTATCTTGTTGGAAAGTTGGATCTGCCAGCGAGTCAAGATAGGGTAAAAGATGGGGTTCTAGAAGGGTTAGAAGGCGACGTGGTGAAAGGAGGAATCCACAGTTTTTTGTTGAAAGACATGTTCATCACACTGTTGGAGTTATGGTTTGGGGTGCTATAGCTTATGGTTCCAGGTCACCTTTAATCTTCATCAGAGGTAACATGAACGCACAGCGTTATATTCACGAAGTTCTAGAACCCCATCTTTTACCCTATCTTGACACCCTGGCAGATCCAACTTACCAACAAGATAATGCCCGACCACATGTTGCAAGAGTCACAATAGACTTCTTTCAACATAATGATGTCACATTGTTACCATGGCCACCAAGATCTCCCGACTTATCCCCAATTGAGCACGTGTGGGATATGATGGGTAGGAGATTGCTCAATTTGCAACGTCCTCCTCAGACTCTAGAAGCACTTCTAGAGGAGTTGGTGGTTGCCTGGAATGAGATACCACAGGAGGACATTGACCACCTGATCAGAAGCATGCCTAGGCGCGTTGGAGAATGCGTAGCACATCAGGGTGCATCCACACATTATTAAAGGTCAAAGGGCTTTAAAGCAGTGCAATCATTTTGAAATTTTTATCATTTAGTTATTATGCTTCATTAAGTACTTATACAAAATTTTATCAAAATAAAACCATTTAAACTGGGTGTTCGGATTTATATGTCACTTAGTTTAGCTCTCAGCCTTTCTGGAGAGAGAAGACTATTAAAATCAAGGAGGCCATAAAGGCGTCATACAACTGTAGGAACTACTGACGATACGGCACACTTCGAATGATAGAAGTACTTTCTATAACTGCTTTGTGTGCAACGATAATAGGCCTTAAGCCAGTCGCGAGCTTGCTGCTGTCTCTGGAGGCTTCTCGTCACAACGTTGTTGGACGGTCGGTGAGCGAGAGGTGAAACTTCAAATTGGTCAGTTTAGAGACTAATAACTGTATGGGGCTATTCGACTGATTTGATCCATTTAATTTGTTTGTAATGTTCGTATTTAACAGAGGGCAGCCTTTTCCGGAGGATATGCGGGGTCAATCAGTGTCCAACATGGAATATTTCGACCTCCTCTGGTATAGCTGATTTTAAGTTTTTCCGCAATAGCTGCAGGTCAGGCAATCGCCGGCGTCGCTGTCTGATCTAGCTGAAACCAGTTACGTCTTTGACTCCGGGCAAAATGGGTTGGTCCACAGTCAACACATACATACATTTATAAATACATACATACACATTCTATCGAACGGTTTTTTGCTATTGAAATTTACAGAGAGGATAAGAAAAATGCTGGACGAGAAAACCACGCCTGTTGTTGTAATTACTTGAACAGTGCTTATCGGAATGGTCTTCACTCACCTTTTTGACAACAATTTATTTCAAACCGTAAGACAATACCAAAAGACTAGCGCCAAGGTCTACATAATACTCGTATATTATACTATTAAACTAAT